AGAATAACCTCGTTTCCAGTGGAAAACTAGGATCTAGATCCTGTTAGTAAAAATACAAGTTAGGGAACCAGCAGTTAGCGTAATGGCTATGTCGCTGGACTCCCCACGTAGTTGACCACGGTTCGCGTCCTGGACCCGGTGGCTTAGAACTCACGCTGGGCACGTGTGCATGCGTGCCCAAGATCCCGAGAGGAGAATGGAGGAGAAGTAATTGCAGCATGACCATCCCCCCAGGAGGTGATTTCTCACTTTCTGTCTCTATGTCTCTCTCTGTCTGGCGAGCACACGCGCCCTATAGTGAAAACCTCTCAAAAAAAAAAAAATACAAGTTATATGCGACCATATAATGAAAGGAAACTATTTAACTCCTAAATCACAATTGGATTCTCTGCCTAATAAGTTTTTCACCTTGAAATACTGTTACCATATTACCACTCCCCAAGATGATTAGCATATTTTAATAGGGTTTCTGGGACTTTCCAATATGTGGACATGAAGAAGGTGACCCCCTACATCTCAAAACACACCCTCTATCATAAGATGTGACTGGAAGGAAGACACTGGAAGCCCCTGCTTTGCGAGCGTGTGTAATACAATTCATATACTTAGTAAGTACACGTGAGGTAACTACAGGTGGCAGTCTTACCAGTTCACGTTTCTGTCTTTTCCCTGCATTTGTGGGAGGTAGTTTCCTCTTCAGTCGTTTGATCAAATCATCAATTTTCTTCCCATTGTCTCCTGTATTTGCTGGCTTTAGTTGGGCCTTCTGAAAACATGAAAAAGCTGACAGCTCACAGTGTTTCTGTAAAAGAAATAATTCATATATATATTAACCAAAGGTATTCAGAAAGTAAAAGATGACCTTCCCAAGCCTCCACTTGTTACTTCTTCTGCAGTGTCTTGAATCGGGTTCACTCGGGCAGACAGTGAGATGTGACTTCACCTCCTACGTAACCTGTGGGCTGCAGAGCAGGAGGCACCGGCATGTGAACTTCTCTTTGTCTTAGGGAAGAAGAGACGATTCACTGCCTCGCGGAGAATGGAGAAGGGAGTTTTACTTCTCCACAGTTCTTTACTCCTAGTGCGGAAATGAGGGCTGTTCTGATTTCTGGGCGTTGGGCAGGGTCTAGGTGCAGAGTTAGTTTTAAGAACCTGTTTTTTGGGGACCAGCAGATGGTGTAGTGGTTCCATTGCTGGACTCCCACATAGACCCAGATCAGGAGGACGCCAGGTGTATATGTGTGCATGCCCTAAATCTCAAAAGGAGAGTGGAGGATAAGGGATTACAGCATGGCCATCCCCCTTGGGGGGTTATTTTTCACCTTCTGTCTCTTCAGCAAGTGCACACACCCTTTTGCAAAAATGTCTCTGTAAAAGTAAAAGAACATGTTTGTGGACTGGTAGCAGCTGTGGCTAAGTTATAGTCTGATCAAGTATCTCTTTGGTTTGTTTGCTGTTTTTCCCTGTGCTACATAAAGCACAGTGCTTTGTTGCTAGTGAATGTTCACTGTATATTTGTGGGGTCAGCAGATAAGGTAAATGAGTTAAAACCCCTCCTTTGGCAAAAGGAAGTGGATCCCTACCTCTGAGGGCACATTCCACATCTAAGATCCCAGGAATGGCTTTAGACCACCCATGACGTTCCTAACATCTTGTTTACGCTCCCAGATCCAGTAGGATAGGGCTCTACCTGATAGGATTCTTGCTGTTCCCAAGCAAGTTAGGGAACAGAATGAGACGCCTAACCAAAGGAAAGGAAGACCAGGCCTTAGAAGTGAAGAGTAGTGACTCAGAGAATGAGGGAGTAAACGGAACAAGGATCAAAAACTTGCCTCTTGGTTTGGCCAAATGACTAGTGGCAGTAAATAACCTAAAACCTTGGCAGTGAAACTGAAAAGCAAGTAGACTTTTTAGAAGAGTAGAACATATACTGACTCAAAAACATTTTAATGCAGATCCAAGAACTTATGTCTGGGTGACTTGTATCCAAGTTACTTTTTTTCTTTCTGAAAATATATCCCCATTTCACTTAAAGCATAGAAGCCGTCTAACCAGAAACCTCAATCCCTCCCCGTTCCTACAAGGGCAGTCCTATGTGCAACAATATGACCTGAATCTTCTCATGAACCATCAGCTGAAAATAGTATCTGGTCTGCATTTTCCAACCTCTGTGCTTACCCATGTGGGTTGATTAATAACATGGGTCTTTAAGACACAAATCTCTCAGCTTTGCTTTGCATATACAGCGGCAAGCCGAGAGCCAGCTTATCTAGTTTCCTTCTGTCAAGGCAGCTTGCCTTTTATAAGGGCGTTGTGCGGTCCTTTCCATATATTTGGCAAAATGCTTATTTAATAGAAACTACTTATAAATGTTAATTATAGCACTTTTTTTTTCCTTGAAAACCACATGTTCATGTTTGTTGAAATTTTTTTCTTTTCTCTTCTTTTTGACCACAACCGGCTTAACTTACTGGAAAAAAATAATATTCATATTTAAAGAGGTAAATTTTCCAGCTGAAACTGAAAACACTAACTGCTTCATCCGTGATGATCTGAGAAACCAGCATTTCTCACAGAGGCCCATTTTGCTGAGTTAACATTTACAGATGTATGCTGAAAGAAAATGGAGTTCCAAAGAAGTAGAGGGGCCGAACCGAACCAGCTCCCTCTAGACAGTATTGCCAGGAATGGTCAAGACCCGGGATCAAAGCTTTGACATCTAGAAATGCCTCTCCGTAGCATCGGGATGCAGGTGCCCACGTTGACGGGCTACTTTCCCTCCCTCCCTCATTCACCTGTGCTCATAGTCACTGGGGCTCTGTTTTGTTTTGTTCTGCAAACAGCAGAGCTGGCCCTCAGACATGCAGTCCAGGGCAAACAGCTGCTGGATTCAGCTCAGATGCACATCAAAGGCAGTCTGAAAAAGGAAAAGTGGAGGAGCTGTCCTTCTGGCTGCCCTCAGGGTGCATCGAGAAGGGAAGTGGAAAGATGCATCTCGATTTAGGCAGCTGCAGGGGCCCTGTAACTCAAGATGACACCGGAATGGCCTGGGATGGCCCTAGTCCATGTTTAGCACCATCTGGGAGCATAGCCATTGGTCTCCTCTGCCATCCTGGGGTGGCCACAGAACCCAAAATCAAGGCTTTGTTTCCCTCATCTATCCACGTATTGGAACATCAGGAATTTCTTGGCCCTACATCAGTTTTGCAGACTAGAGGGAACAGGAATGAAGTCAAAAGCAAGAATGACCTGTCACTCCTCTCTTCAGCTAGAGAGTGAGTGAGTCAAGTGCTGTGTTTGCAGAGGATGCACTTGGCTTTGTTGTTTGCAATTAGAGTTAGAAAAACATTTGCCTCCTGAGAGCCTTTTTTTTTTTTTTTTTTAGTTTTGCTATAGGGCGTGTGCATTTGCAAGAGAGAGAGAAAGTGAGAAATCACCCCCCTGAAAGGATGGCCATGCTGCAGTCCCATCTCCCATCTCCTCTCAGGATGTTGGGCATGCACTCACACACTCCTGGTGTGACTCTCAGGCCATGGGTCTGGGACTCCAACTGTACAGCCATGTAGGAACCAGCAGGACCTTGACCTCCACGCCACCTGCTGGCCCTGAAAGCCTGTTTTTAACCTATTCCATCTTGTTCCTTTGCAAAAAAAAGCCCTGGCCATTCACACTAGGAAGTCTTGCTAACTAGATAAGATTACCTTTGTCCCCCACACAAACTAGGTTTGTCTCATGTTTGGCAATAGGAGCATGCCTGGCATTTGGGGCTAGACCATTCATTGTTGTCCAGGCTGTCCTGTGTGTTCTGGAATGTCTATGGGCTTCTCTGGCAATGCCTGCCCGGTTGCCAGTGACACTCCAACTAACTGTGATAACCACAAATTTCTCTAGAGGATGCTGAATGTTCTCTGGGGGCAAAATCACCACCAGTTAAAAACCACGAGCTTTGAGATTGGAAAGAAAGGAAAAGTGAAAGATGCCTGAGGAGGCCGATTAGAGATCTTAGAAAATCGCTATGTAAATGTAACATTTAGATGGTTTTATCTTCATTAAACTTTTTAGTCTTTTACATATCTTACAGACCCTGTTTGATGCTGCCCTGACAGATGTGCTATACCAATGTGGCCTTGAAGTGTGTTCTTCCTTCCTGGGTTTGCCTGTCAGCGTAGCTTGAGGATCTCAGTTAGACCAATATTCACTTGTGTCACAGCCGACATTGCTTGATCAGATTATCAGATAAACACAGTATCACAGAGACAAGATCTCCTCGTCATGATGTAAGATTTAAAAATATCTCTAACTCAAGTTACTGGCTGACTGCACGGTTCAAGTCCTGGACCTGGTAGCTTGCAGGACAAAACTGGGTGTGTATATGTATGTGCATACCCAGAATCCTGAAAGGAGAATGGAGGAGAAAGGACTGTGGTGTGGCCATCCTCCCTGGTGGGGGGTTGGGGAGTGCTCTCTTTTTCTCTTTCTCTCTCTCTCTGTCTCACACATGCACTCTCTAGCAATTTTTTAAAAGTGGGATAGATATTTTGCTATTTCTTACACTGAAAATTATAGATTGTAGCTGGGAAGCTCTGAAAAGGACTCTAACCACAGCAGTTAAGCGAGGTGTGCGAGGTGCAGAAAAATGTGTATTTTGATATTTATGCACAAGGAATATCCTCACTTATTGGAAAAAAATAAGTCTTTCCAATAAGTTGAATGTGCTGCTTTCATTTTAGATGCTGTGTGTTAGAAAAAGACTGAGTAAATGAGAGTGGTTAGGTTCAGAGCTAGAGAGTGAATTGTAGAAAAAAGCAATAGTTGTGACTCATTCACTTTCTAAACTTTTACACAGTCATTTACGATAATTGTTTTCTTTGCAATGTATCTTCATGTCTTCCCCTTTGCAGTGCCCTAATTACTGGTAGCACTGTTGTGTTATTCTAATTTATGCAATTAAAGGCCTGTGACAATGAAAACATTTCCCCAATTGCTCTTATTACTCTTAGGGTACCAACCACACCAGACCAGATTGAAGAAATTGCTGGGGGAATCTATCAGCAGACAGCACTCTTGAACCTTCTCTTCCTAGGATGCTAACGGATTTAAATGGCTTAAAAGATTAATTATTGAAAATAGTCCTTTCAAAAAGGCCGTGCCAAGACATCACTAAGACAAGATTCACTCAGGCCAAGGGATATGTAAGTTATATTCTACAGGAGAGCTTTGATTTCCACCACAACCTTCCTCCGAGCTGTCCCGGTAATCTAATTCTTTCCTGTTTTCTAAAGTTTGTTATTAAAAGGTGAGTTCTGCTTCCTATGGTATGTATCTCTGATTCTTAAATAGAATTACAAAGAGGGCTCAACAGGAACTTGCATGCCCAAGAGCTTTTAAAACACAGTTAGCTGTTCATTGTTTAGAAACTGATCGTAGTTTAGATTTCTCTTCTAGTTCTGTCTCAACCATACCACTTTGAAATACTCCTACAGATACTGGAAGATAAACGTATTTTTTTAAAGAAAGTAATATAGCATTTTATTGCCTTTTTTATAAATGAACGAATATTTGACCAAAACAGAAATATTTAGCAATTGTTAAACTCCCAAATTCATTGACATTAAGTACATTCCTAAATAATCATGCAGATGCTTTGCTTATTGGATTTAAGACCTTATGTTAAATATATTTTCAGAAATAAATGCAACTGGTCTTACCTTTACATCTTGTGGAGCTGGCAGAAATTCAGGATCCTACAGCAAAAGAAAATCAGTTCTAAGTTATTTTTATAAGCCAGAAGGCTCTTTTAATATTAATTGAAAAATATTACTTAAATTCTGTTGTGACAAAAATGGTCTTACCAAGTCATTCACATAATTGTTCAGCTCATCAACAGTTTCTAAAAGTTGACGCAGTCTAATCAGGCGGCGATCTTGCCTTTGGGAGTTTGATTTATGGGCCACTGTCCCCAAGAAGATGACCATCAGACAGATGACTATCCTCTCCATGCTGCCACGACTGAATCTCATAAGTACCAAGGGCAGAGCAAGACCTTGGTCTCGTTTTCACTTCAGTTTGACTGTGGACAGGTTGTCAGTAAAGCTACCTATTTATTCATCCTGCAGGGAGAGGTAAAGCCCTCCCATTGCAACCTGGAAATCTTTGTAAAATGGATGATTGTGAGTAACTGTTTTTTCTTTTCCACTGGCTAGGTGTACGTGTGCATGTGTTAACATGTGGGGGCAGGGATTGATGGAGTCAACGAAATGTGCCCCATCTGCATCTTAGACAGGAAAAGGAGAGAAATGGGTGAATTCCAATTTTCAACATGAATCAAGAAGTATGTATGGTAAACAGTAGGTACTACAAGACTTCAAAAAAGTAAACAAAAACACTTTGATCTCTTTCTCTCTGTCTCTCCTGGCATCTTACCTATTCTCTCTGACAGTCATAAGGACACTTCATTAATGAGTAAAGTGGCAACATGTGCTTTCTTGCATGACTTTTTCTTATGCAACTACTCTTTCTTAACAACTATGTCTTCAGACTGAGATCATTCAGTATTCCATCTTAAAAGTGGAAGAGAGGCCACCTTTTAGGAAATTTTAAGTAAATGGGGTACTTTTCAAATTACCAAGAATATTTTAGGTTCTTACCTGGTTTCAATGGTTTAAAATAGAATTTGCTTCCAACTCTTCACGAAAACATCTTTAAATAACATTAATCATGGCTTCTGACTTTTTATTTTAACAATCTTATTTAAAATACCACAAATGATTCTAAGGGAGTCCAAAGAAAATACAACCTCCAATTGAAATCTCACTTTACGAAACCAAAAAACATTTTCAAACAGCAACATCAAAAATACCCCCAGTATCTTTTTTGCTCTTATAGAAGTGTTACTTATTTCTGTTAGATATTATTTACTCTGGATATGGCAACACATTTCTAACTGCCTCTATAACCTGATAGAGGTTAGTAAGCGACTCAAAGTTCAGAGGTGATTTAATCACCCTTTGCTCTCCTGCTTCCTTTGTCCTTGCAACTCTTTACCCATTCGGAAAATTGAACATAATATTCTATTGAGAATGAGTCTTGGACTACAATCAGATAGGTCTTACAGATAAAACTCTTGACTACAGATTTCATTTATTCTTATGTCTTTGTCAATTTTATTACATGCCTTTATCATTTTCATTATGTAGACATACTTTATTCTAGAATATACAAGCCAAGATAAATTGGAGTTTTGACTTGATCTACTCTATAGGTTGACTATAATCTTTTTGTAATAGAATATCTAATATGCAAGTTTGGCTTTATATAGTGACTAAGATCAGGAAATCCTCCCTACAAAAATAAAATTCTGTAGGGA